GTCCCTGAGGACTGGCTCGATGCCGTCGTCCTCCCTGTTCGCAAACCGGGGTCTCGGGGTACTTCCCCTAAGGGGGCATATTCTGGTTAAATAAAAGTTGTTCAATTTGCTTATAAATTTATGTATGAAATGGTTATAGAAAGGGCTGCAACGTATTATGCAACGAATGTTCAACATTCTCAAATAATCTCAGGGAACACATATGTCAACTAAAATGTCTACTATGTGCTGTAGAAGCACAAACTCTTGTAATAATTGTAATATGTATGTGCAATATATATATATATATATGTAAAATTTTTTTTTTTTTTTTTTTTTTTTGTCAATTTTTTTTCGTTTGTTATCAAGGGATTTGCATAAAACTTGCACACCTTGCTTAATGGATGCCTATCTGCAAGGGTGCCAATTATGAACGAAATCTGTCGAAGTCAAACTCAGCTACAGGTGGCCGAACTTGGATCTTTATTTTACTCAGGAAAGTAATTTACAACTTCAAAGTACTTCAGAGCTTTCATTTATTAATCAATTTACATGCAAATTACACCTTATATGTAGAGTTTGTGCTTCTACAGCATTTAGTAGACATTTTAGTCCAAAGTCCATTTGTTGATTTTATAAAAATTTATAAACATCATATATTGCATATTTTTGGAAGGGTAACTTTGAACAATTATATTATTGCACTAAACACTTTTTTGATAAAACTGATACTAACATCCTTTATTATGTGCTAAATTTAATATCTGAGTGTTATAGAAAGGATTTTACTTGACACATGTGTTCCCTGAGATTATTTGAAAATGTTGAAAATTCGTTGCATAATAAGTTGTGTATTTTTTTTCTCCTTTTCTGTTTAGGGTGTGATGGTGAACCTTGGACCAGTTGCAGCCCTTTCTATAACCATTTCATAAATAAATTTATAAGCAAATTGAACAACTTTTAATTTAAAAAGATTATGCCCCCTAAGGACTTTCGCCCTATTGCCCTCACAAGTTGTGTCTGCAAACTATTTGAACGTATGGTTAACGTTCGTCTGATGTGGTTCCTGGAACACCATCACCTCCTCTCCCCTTCTCAATTTGGTTTCCGCAAGTGCTGCAGCACGACAGATGTCCTGGTGAACTTGGAGGTCTATATTCGTACTGCTTTTGCTGCGAAGTCCTCCGTTGTTGCCATCCTTTTTGACCTGGAAAAGGCTTACGACACCACTTGGCGATATAATATTCTATCCCAGTTTCATTCTTTTGGCCTTCGTGGTCGTCTCCCTCTCTTTCTCCGCAGCTTCCTCTCTCGTCGTTCCTTTCGGGTGCGGCTTGGTACCGCTCTCTCTGCCTCTTTTCAGCAATACGAAGGTGTGCCCCAGGGTAGTGTTCTGAGCACTACTCTTTTTCTGGTTGCCCTCAATGGTCTTCTTTCCTTTCTTCCTTCACCTTCCTTCAGGTGTCTTCTCCGCTCTCTATGTCGATGATCTTACCCTTTGCTGTCAAGGTGATGTTTCGCCTCTCCTTCAGCGCCGGCTTCAACTTGCGATTGATGCCGTGTCGTCTTGGGCCACCGATCATGGCTTCAAGTTCTCTAGTTCTAAGACTTGTGCCATGACTATTACTCGGAAACGGGTCGTTCTTCGTTCCTCTTTGTCACTTTCTGGTCATTCCCTTGAGTACAAAGATTCCGCGAGGCTTTTGGGGTTATTCCTTGACACTCGTTTGTCTTGGTCTCCCCATATCTCTTACCTCCGTGTTGAGTGCTCTAAGGCCCTTACCCTCCTTCGGGTATTGTCCCATACTTCTTGGGGAGTGGATATGCGCACTCTTCTTGCTTTACATTCCTCTCTTGTCCTGTCTAAGCTCGATTATGGTTGCCCTGCTTACTCGTCTGCTTCTCCTTCTACTCTTCGCCGTCTTGATGGTTTGCACCATACTGGGTTGCGCCTCAGTTCTGGTGCCTTTCGTTTGACTCCCGTCCTTTGCTTGTATGTTGACACTGGCTTCCTGTCTCTCCAGGACCGCCGTGATCGCTACTGTCTTCGCTATCTTGCGCGGTCCTTACAACATCCTTCCTTTCGCCTCTGTCGTGCTTTAACTTTTACCCCTCCTGCGGTTCCTGTTCCTCTTCACCATCTCCCTCTTTCTGTCCGGTTATCTCGCTTACAGGATTCTCTTTCCGTTCGTATTTCTAATGTTTCTCCTCGTGTTGTTCCTTCTTTGCCCCCGTGGAGAGTCCCCCTTCCGCGGTTTTGTACATCCTAGACCGGCATCGCTAAAGCTTTTACCCCTCGTATGGTTCTAAAACGCCTTTTCCTTGAGCACTTTTTTTCTCACTCCCGCTCCGTTTCTGACTTCACCGATGGGTCCAAGTCTGCGGACTGTGTTGGCTACTCTGTTGTTTTTCCTGATTGCACTTATATGTGTCACTTACCTCCAGAGACTAGCATCTTCACAGCGGAGCTTTATGCTATTCTCTATGCTCTTCGTCTCCTGCTTTCTCGTTCAGTCTTCCTTTGTAGTTGTTGTTGACTCTCGTAGTGCCCTCATGGCTCTCGGGTCCTTTAATCCGGTTCATCCAGTAGTTGTCGAGATCCAGCATTGGCTGTTTCTTGTTCACAGTAAATTTAAGTCGGTTGAGTTTTGTTGGGTTCCCAGCCATATTGGTGTGTCTTTAAATGAACGTGCGGATGCTGCCGCCAAGGAAGCTGTCTGCTCTTGTCCCATCTCTCGTAAAGGTATTCCATATTCCGACTTTTACCCGGTTATCAACTCATCCATCCTTAGCTGTTGGCAGGCTTCTTGGTCGTCTTTTACTGGTAACAAACTACGTACTCTTAAATGTTGTGTTTCCTCGTGGCCGTCCTCCTACGATGGGAAACAGCTCTGGCGAGGTTGCATATTGGCCATACTCGCTTAACCCATGGTCACTTGATGGAGCGCCGCCCTGCTCCTTATTGTCCTAATTGCATTGTCTTTCTTACTGTCGTGCATGTCCTTCTTAATGTCCTGACTTCCAGGACGAGCGTGTGTCTTGCTTTCCGACCGCCCCTCGCGGTCGCCTGTCCCTCAATAGAATTCTTGGTGAATAGAAAACTTTTGATATCGTTCGCCTTATGCGTTTTTGTTCTCGTATTGGCATCCTTGGTGATATTTAGTGCCCTCTGATTATTCTGCACATTTGATGGTGCTACATAGCCTTTCCGGTTTGGTGCCTTCTTTTGATAATTACTTACTTACTTGTAAAAAACAGCGCCATCTGTTAGATGTAAGAATACCACACGCTGTAATCTCCGAAAGTTCTACAATTGCTTTGAAATTTTGACACAACATTGCATTCGAATAGACACGTCATTTTATATACCTACTATATAGATCCCACCCATTTGACAGGTAAAAACATGCTTTTTTTAAAAAACTACCATCTGTTGCACATAATAGCAACATGAACGCTATACTAAATATATAACGAATTCCATTTCAATGTTTCCAATTGCATTGATAAATTGAATTTTCATAGATTTATATTTTTTTATTATTTATTGAATTATTTTGTGTGACATTGTGTTGGAATTGAGCTGTGTTGTTTACCATACCTTTCTTTTCGTAAGAATAAATATAGATGCCACTCCTGTGAGAGGTAAAGCTATGCTTTTCTTGAAAAACAGCGCTATCCATTGCATGTAAGAGCAATACACATGCTATATTAAATATGTTACAGTTCCATTTCAGTGTTTCTGATTGCATTTATCAATTGAATTTTCATAGATTTTTATTTATTTTCATTTTGATTTAATTATTTTGTGTGAATTGCGTTGGAATTGAGCAGGGCTGTTTACCATATCGTTCATTTCACGAGTATAGTTTACTTTTTCATATTTTAATTTAATTTTTTAACTGTTCATATATTTCAGGGATGAGAACATCAGACCACTTGATGTTCCCAATTTTCTGATGGGAACATCAGACCATTTGGGAAGGCATCAGACGAGGGAATGGAGAATGGTAGGGATGATGAGGGGACGAAAGTGAGAGATGGTGGGGAGGACGAGGGGACAAGGGAGGGGAGATTAATGGTGGGGAAGGACTATGAGACAGGGGAGTTTGGGATGGTGGGGACGAGGGCATGGGGGAATGGAGAATGGTAGGGAGGACAAAGGGACAGGGGAGTGGGGCATGGTGGGAAGGAAGAGGGGATGGTGGAGTGGGGGAATAGTGGGAAGTATGAGGTGACGGTGGAGTGGAGAATGGTTAGGAGGCCAAGGAGAAGGGTGAGTTGGGAATGATGGGGGAGAACTGGGGGACAGGGAAGGTTGCTGCTAGTAAATTAATATAAATTGATAAATTTCTATATAAATAAATCCCACGAATCTATTTTCCCCACAGGCAGGGCTTTTGGTAGAATATGTAGGCATCATATCTTTTTGTAATACTTCACTTCACTTTACTCATTTCTCCTTTACTTTATTAATTTACTCAACCTTTTGCTATTATACACCACTGATATTTAAATATGTCACTGATCATGAAAAATCATATTATATATTTTCATTTTGAGCATCCAATATTTTATATCAGTGGAGCTTGCCTGATAAATACTTTTGTTACTGCTAATTCTTCCACATGGCAGTGGGCTAATATATATGTGTAACTTTTGTGTTCTGGAATGTATTCAATTGAATATTTTTTTTTGTTGCTTGGCAGTTTTATGTTGGATATTTTTAGTGGTGATTTTGTGGCTTATATTTATGGAATAATTTATGCAATAATAATTGGCGTTATATTTTGCCATTATATTTATTCTTTTATTGTTGTATTTATATTTCTTACTCAGTTTTCTTAACTTCAAAATTTTGCAACAAAATTAACTTAACTGGACATTGCTTATTATCAAATATCTAAATTCTTATATCTCGTTCTTGTTGCTGATTATTGTAATTTTGACATGTTATTATACAGTAAACTGTAAATATAAACTTGTTTAATTATATAACATTTTCGTATTTGCATTTGCAGTGAGTCAACCATCGTAGTAAAGTTCCTCCACAAGTGGAAGAGTTGACTAAAGTCCAGGTGGTGACTTGCGACGAGCCTCAAGGACCAACTGAGGCAGGACCTAATAATCTTCAGATAATTAATCAGCCTTTTCCACCAGTGATTGTAATGTTAAACAATGAAATTCAATACAATTTTTTTTCCTTCCTGGAAGAAATATTTGATGTGTTGAGGCTAACACTCGGTAAAAATTAATCTCGGTATCCTATATGCTTTATTCCATATATTCATGCATTGATTAATTTCTTGTGATTCCTGCATATTAGGACTCCTATATATTTCTCCCATAAATACTTCACATTTTCAATATTGTCCACGTGGTATATGGGAACTCTTGTATTATTATTACTAAGCTCAAATTCCAAAATATTTCAGCATTAAACTGCATATGCATCTACTAATCTATTGCCCACGTGGATAGTCTGTAGAGATTGTCTTTTAGTACTTTCGGGAGTTAACTCCCACATGGCAATTAAATCCACGTGGGACTTAACCCCCTTCATGCCAACACTCTGCTGTCTCTTTTAATAACCAAGGTCTAATCCAACTTATGATAAACCCCAATTATCACGTACCTCTAGCTCTTTAGTCTGGTGAGCCGCAGTATCAAAGTCCTTGCCGATGTCAAATTTTAGAATGTCACAATCCTTCCTACTATCAGATTCTTAAAATTTACAGGAAAGGAATGACACATTTCTTAAACATGAGCAGCCCCTTACCGAAACCATCTCTTAAATTCTTTATTAATCTGTTTATCAAGATGAAAACAAATGGTTTTGGCAGTTATCAATTAAATCCATTTCCGGCAATTGGCACCACATCAGCCACCATCCATCACTCCGGTACTCTGCTCGAATCTAATGTTAAATTAAATATGGTAGACAATGGGCCACAAAGCTTTGCTTTACACTACTGAAATAAACACCCTGGATAATGTTTTGTCTGGCTTTGGGGACTAGTTTGCTTTTAGTTTGCATATTTGTTTAATAACTTCCTCGCTAGTAACTACTAAACTAGTCCTCTCGACCTAAAAAGGTTGGTTGTGCTGAATGCATAATTGAGTTTCTTTAGTAACCCCCGTCCCTGTTCAGCTCGTTGATGCCGTGAGGGGGGCTTAGTGGGCGGCTGCCGGAGTGTGATGCTCCCTGGAACAGTCCTCTGTCCTTTTGTAAACTTGTGCTCCTGCAGCTGTCCTCTCTAATTGTGCTGAACAACTTTTCCATTTCCTTCTGTTTGATTTTTCTCCCCCTCTTCTCCTATCTGCTTGTCGATTCCTGCCGACCTTTTGCTTGTTTTGGTTATTCATTTGGACTTCTTCTATTTTGACGTCTGGGTGCTTGAGGAGGCATACTCTTGCACCCGTTGAACTGTAGTACCCAACGTCTCGAGCGAGGGGAACCTTTTATTGTCAATCCTCCTTTCGTCACTGAACCCGATCTCGACGGACTGACCGCTCTTAAGGTGGTGTTTGTGGGGCAAATACTCACGACGAACCCCTAGGAGGCCCCGGCATTATCGGCGATAGCTTCTTGTTGGGTGTCCTGCCTCTAATTGTGGCTCCATGGTGGGTGTGGGGGCACATTCGTAAATGAATGTTTCTTTTTCGTACTTATGATGCATTCTGTTCCTCCTTTACCTTCTCAGCCTCGTGGGTGGGCGACCAAGCCCCGAGTCGGTCCGTGTTGGAAGACCGGGCTCTGTAGCCTCCGCTGCATGGGGCCCCGACCTTGCTCCTCCTTTGGCACCTCTGACTACTCCCCTCGGCTCCCCTCCCTCCTCTGTGGTTGGGTCGAGTCCCAAGCCCCCAGTGGTGACTACCTCATCCCCTGGCACGGCTCAGTCTCTAGTTGTGACTACTGCGCATTTTAACCTCCCCCTCTCTCTCTGGGGTTTCTCAACGCCATCCTCGACATGGCCACACTCGCTCGATTCCTTCTCGTTCTGATGCTCATCAAGCCTTGTTTGGTCCCGCTTCGTGGACCAAATACTTTGATCCTCCCTCTTGATTCTGCGCCTCCTGACGATTTCTCCCTTCATAGACACCTTGTTGATTCCGTAGATGCCTCTGTCACCTTCACCCCACCTGTCTCGGTACACGTGTCGTTGCTGCTCCTTCTCAGGATGCGGCCTCCCGCTTGGCTGCTTTATCCTGCCTTGGCGAGACGCTTGTTCGGGTCTCCAAGAACGTTCGGTTGAATGCCAGTGTTGGTACTATTCTCCTTCCGCCCCATGTTGCAACCGGTGTTCGGAATCTGCAGGACTACCACGATGATATTCAGCATATCCTTGAGGCCCAGGGCCATTCTGTCCTCCAGGTAGACACGTTTACTCGTCCCCCTCGTGGTCGTTGCCATCAGCCCCTTCGGGTTGTGACGATTACTTTTGATGGTAGGACCCTTCCGCTCTCTGTCATTCATGCTGGTGCCAGGTGCTCTGTCCAGGAATACATTCCTTCTCCTAGGCTCTGTAACAAGTGCTGGAGGTTTGGGCTTGGTGCCCTCCGCTGCTCTGGGACTGTCTCTCTCTGTCCTTTGTGTGGGGGGGCGAAGGTCACTCAAAGACAGAGTGCACTTCTCCCCAGGCTCGCTACCTCAACTACGGTGAGGCCCATCCTACCTTCTCCCGTGCGTGTGTCCATTACAAGCTTGAGGCAGCCGTCCTCAACTTGAAGCACCGGGAGCGTTTATCTTTTCCTGAGGCGAGACGCCAGGTTCGCCGGCTCCCGCCTTATGCTAATATCTCTTATGCTCGCGTGTTGCGCTCTTCCTCTCCTCGTCCTTCCCACCTTCCTGAGACTCACAACCGTTTCCGGGCATTGGACCCTGATAAGCCCACTGCCCCCTCCTCTGTTCCTTTGAGTTCTGTCCCGAAGGGTCCCCCTCCTGGTCCTCTGTCTGGTGTTCCCTTTTTTTCTACCCGGTCTGTCATGTCTCCTGTGTCTTCTTCCTTGACTCTCTCCGATCCTACTTCCCATCCTTCTCCTCTGACTATTGACTCTCCCCGCCGCCTGTCAGCGTGGGATGATTTCCATCGCTCTCCTAACGGCCGTCGTGTGTGCTCTCGTTCAGCTTCTCCTCTTGAGATGCTGGTATCCGTTGCCCAGTACGTAGTTGCTGGGACACCTGGCTCTTTGAGTCAGAAGCGTAAACCTGGCTCCTCTCCTTCTTCCTCCCGGCGGGTATGAAGGCTTTGCTTTCTTCCTTGGCCCCTACTTCTGACTCTATCGCTCCTTCCCCTTCCATTTCGGTGGGTGTGCCCCCTATTCCTGCTATGAAGGTTTCTTTGGCCCTCGCTTCCCTCTCGGTTGCTGCCCTTGCTGAGGAGCTCACCCCTCTTTTTACTCCTCTTCTTCCTGCTGCTGTCCTTGATTGCTCCTCTTGGTTGCCTCCTTCTCTTCCTCCTCTTCCTCCATATCCCGTCCATCCACCCCTGGTCTGTTCTCCCGCTTCCTTCCCTCCGTCTTTGTTCAGTTTACCCATTCCCCCTAACCCTGACTTTGCTGACCCTGATACTGACCCTGATCTTCTTTAACGTGCAATGTTGCTGTTTCGCCTTTGTTTCTTCCCTGTTCTCTCTTGTTGTCCTTTCTCTTCTCGGCAATGTCTATTCTTCAATGGAACGTTCGTGGTTATTACGCCAATTTCCTTGAACTCCAACTTCTGATTTCGCGGTTTTCGCCCCTCTGTGTTTGTCTGCAGGAGCCAATGCTTTGTGCTCGTCCTGGTCGCTTTCGTGGCTATTCCTTTCTCCCGCCCCCCCCCCCAGCTGTTGCTGGGGTTCCTAACTCTTCTGCTCTCTTGATTCGCTTTGATGTTCCCTTTGTCCCTTTACTTTTTCCTTCACCTCTCCATTGTTCTGCTGCTTGTATCTTTGTGGGGAAATGGTACACCGTTTGTTCCATTTATCTTCCCCGAGTGTCCCGCTTTCTCTTCATGATCTGAAACACCTCCTGGACTCCTTACCAGAGCCTGTGCTCCTGCTGGGTGATTTCAATATTCGTCATTCCCTTTGGGGTGATGTTCTGACGAACATCCGATATCGCCTTCTTGAGCCGTTTATCCTCTTTTCTTCCCTGTCTCTTCTGAATTCTGGTGAGCACTCATTTGGACTCTCGGACTCGTACCCTTTTCTATCTTGATCATTCTCTTTGCTCGTCTTCTCTTTACTTAGATTTCACGTGGCAGGTTCTTGATGACCTCCATGGCAGTGACCATTTCCCCATCCTTGTTACCTTTTTCTCTTTTCACCCTCCCCTCTCTTTCCCTAGGTGGCAGTTTGCTAAAGCGGACTGGAACCTATTTACCCTCAGTGCGGCTCTCTCTGACCTCTCCCTCGCTCTCTCTTCCTTTTTCATGACACTGTCTTCGAGGCTGTCCTCCGCTCTATTCCTCGTTCTTCCTCTCGGGGTCCACGGAAGTGCGTTCCCTGGTGGAATGCAGACTGAGCTTGGGCTCTCCGCTGTAAGCGTGCAGCCTGGAAGAGACACTGCCGTCGGCAGACGGCTGATTCTTTTCTTTTCTTTCGGAAGGCGAGTACGGTGGCCCTTAGGGCCATCCATACGGCTAAACGTGAATGTTGGGCATCTTATGTCTCCACCATTACGTCCGAAACTCCTCTGCCACAGATCTGGAAGCGAATATGCAAGATAGCAGGTAAGTTCGTTCCCGATGTTTCACCGGTCCTTCACCTCCGTGGTACTCTTGTGGCGGACCCGTTGCAAGTCGCTAACGAACTGGGTTCCCACTTTTCTTTTGTTAGCTCTTGTCTTCATCTTCCCCAATCTTTCCTTCTTCGTAAACCTGTCCTTGAATCTCGTACTTTAGATTTCTGCACTCGTCTACGACTTCCCTATATCGATCCCTTCTGTCTCTCTACACTTCGTTCTGCTTGGTTCTCTGCGGTTCTGCCCTAGTTCTCTGCGGCTCAGATGGCATTCATTATGAGATGCTTCGCCATCTCCCTCCGTGCACGTCTCAATATTTACTGAGTCTGTATAATCGGATCTGGGATTCGTCGTCAGTCCTTGACGACTGGCTCGATGCCGTTGTCCTCCCTGTTTGCAAACCAGGGTCTCAGGGAACATCTCCTAAGGACTTTCGCCCTATTGCTCTCACAAGTTGTGTTTGCAAACTCTTTGAACGTATGGTTAACGTTCGTCTGATGTGGTTCCTGGAACACCATCACCTCCTCTCCCCTTCTCAATTTGTTTTTCGCAAGTGTCGCAGCACAACAAATGTCCTGGTGAACTTGGAGGTCTATATTCGTACTGCTTTTGCTGCGAAGACCTCCGTTGTTGCCGTCCTTTTTGACCTGGAAAAGGCTTACGACACCACTTGGCGATATCATATTCTATCCCAGCTTCATTCTTTTGGCCTTCGAGGTCGTCTCCTTCTTTTTCTCCGCAGCTTCCTCTCTCGTCGTTCCTTTAGGGTGAGGCTTGGTACCGCTCTCTCTGCCTCTTTTCAGCAATAAGAAGGTGTGCCCCAGGGTAGTGTTCTGAGCACTACTCTTTTTTTTGGTTGCCCTCAAGGGTCTTCTTTCCTCTCTTCCTTCAGGCGTCTTCTCAGCTCTCTATGTCGATGATCTTACCCTTTGCTGTCAGGGTGATGATTCGCCTCTCCTTCAACGCCGGCTTCAACTTGCGATTGATGCCGTTTCGTCTTGGGCCACCGATCATGGCTTCAAGTTCTCTACTACTAAGACTTGTGCCATGGCTTTTACTCGGAAACGGGTCGTTCTTCGTCCCTCTTTGTCACTTTCTGGTCATTCCCTCGAGTACAAAGATTCTGCGAGGCTTTTGGGGTTATTCTTTGACACTCGTTTGTCTTGGTCTCCCCATGTCTCTTACCTCCGTGTTGAGTGCTCTAAGGCCCTTACCCTCCTTCGGATATTGTCCCATACTTCTTGGGGAGCGGATAGACGCACTCTCTTTGCTTTACATTCCTGTCTCGTCCTGTCTAAGCTCGATTATGGTTGCCCTGCTTACTCGTCTGCTTTTCCTTCTAATCTTCGCCGTCTTGATGCTTTGCACCATACTGGGTTGCGCCTCAGTTCTGGTGCCTTTCGTTTGACTCCCGTCCTTAGCTTGTATGTTGACACTGGCTTCCTATCTCTCCAGGACCGCCGTGATCGCTACTGTCTTCGCTATCTTTCGCGGTCCTTGCAACATCCTTTCTCTCGCCTCTGTCGTGCTTTATCTTTTACCCCTCCTGCGGTTCCTGTTCCTCTTCACCTCCTCCCTTTTTCTGTCCGGTTATCTTGCTTACAGGATTCTCTTTCCGTTCGTATTTCTAATATTTCTCCTCG